GCACACAGTTTCCATTCAAGCCTCATTAGCTGGGCAACATCAGCTAATGATTTTACAGTGGCCCGACAATATAATCCTCCTAATTGCTGGTTTCGTTAGTCTCAGGTTATCACACGACCGTAGTAATTACCAGGCTCTGATAGCTTGTTGTGCAGAGGTGGATCCACAAATAGTACGAGGAAAGTCTGCCACACCAGCAACTAAAATCGCCATTCAACCTAGCCATTAGGTAAAAGGCTACCTTAAAAGTTGCACTACCAGCTCATTCCTCAAATAAAGCAGTCTTTACAGTGTGGGACAGAAATTGGTCTCTTAACAGGGTTTCCCATCAGTTGATATTGCATCTCGCTTTGTATATATTATGCCTAATCCATTTGATTCGAGGTTGCTATAAAAGATCGAAATATTGATCCGCTGATGCATGCGAAACATCTCTGAGGCTGGCTGACATTGCTCTTTGTCAACGCAAATGAAGAATAACAGCCCCCTACACATATCCTAGCAACCCAATCTCCCTTGTTTCGAACGTGTGATTTGCAAGTCAGAGGAAGAAGTACCGGAAAAACTTTCTCTCCTACTCATTGTGTAGATTTGTGCCGTTGGTCTGGGGGTCGCTGAACTCCGGTGATATCACTCAGTCGAGACGTAGACGGCTCGCTAACTGAATCTGTTGAGCGTTGTCTAGTTTGGAAACATGACTTCGTCTCATCCCGAAAGGATTTTGTTGAGACCGCTGTTCACATAAAGCTACAATTACTGCGTCAGTTTATCTCTCAGGAGATACTCTGCAGAACATTAAGGTGAATAGATCAATCCAATATTGACCTCCTCAGTTACATGCAGGAAGGGATGGAGGTCAAACTATCAATACCCTGCGGGTCATGTGGATTGCCAAACTAACCAATCAAAGGCTTTCAGTGATATTAGAGCTTTACTCTTCTGTCCTGATAAGTTGGTAGTCCTAACCCAGAAGACCTGGGAGTAGGGACACCGGCCAGTTAGGTCACTTAGTACACTTATCCCAGTTAACCACTTCGATGCCCTAAAAAAGCGTTAATTTCTCAGTGTTTTGTGCCGATCAATCCAACAAGATACTGTGAGAAATTACGGCCAGCGAATCGCCTACTTTACTTCCGGTGGAGTGGTTACATGGCAGTGTAAAAGTTTGCGGACCATCTGCTATCTATCGGCCCCACTTTTATCGTTCTCTAAAGAAAGAGAAATAACCGATACCTGTAAGATTTGAAAGGCTATGGATGAATCCTCTGAGGCTTACAGTAACAGCCCATCATTCAAATGAATTCTCTAATCTACTGACATGCCGTGAATACACATCAAGCAAGAGCGAGACGACCAGATGTGAAGGTTACGAACGCATGAAGGCCAGTATTTAGTGTACAAACAATTTAGTACCCACGTAAAAACGCTTTACACCTCTACGCCTTGTGTTGTTCACGCGTGAAAATTCTGAAAAACAGACAAGTAACTGGGTGGCAGTAGCACGGCAACTTCTACTACAGGCAAAGCAAATAGATGATGACAAACGCTTCTGACAGACGTCCTCATATGTTCCTGAACTCTTCCTCTGTATGCATGGGATGATGTGACTGATATTTATCACCGGTATTGTGCGTGAAGCCACTAGTGACTGGGGTTTGAGTTGCGGTATTTAGTTCGAAAGGGTCTTCCTGCGTGAATCCGGCAGACACCGGATGTCGGCCACACTCTACGTGACCTACTCAGCTGCCGCATGCCGTTACTCAATTCTCAGAACAGTACATAACTTACGAACATGGGGTACACTACTCATAAGGTCGCTGAAAACCCCTTGACAGCCCACGACCGGTTTCGCCCTTCCAGTTCAGGCTCATCAGGTAGGCGCAGTCCTCGAGTTTCCGTCAACCTTATGTTCTAATCGAATCTAAACTGCACGAAGTAAGCGAAATACACTAATTTGCAAACAAAGTCGGTTTTGTGGGAGACTCACGTGGAACCCAGCTGAATCCCTCTTGGAAACATCATAAACGAGAGACTCAGCCGGATTCCAGGTGAGTCTCCCACAAAACCGATTTCGCTTGAAAATGAGTGTATTTCGCTAAGTACATAACTTATTTCACTTCAGTTATCTCATTCCTAAGAATAACTCGGACTCTTGGATATTTGGAATAGCAGTTGCAGATATCGACCCGGCATTCGTCGCGGTGTTTGAAAAGATATATGGTCTGTAGATCCAAACAATTATGATGCCGCTTGGTTTTGTCAGTCGAAATTTTTGGCAACCTCGCTGGGAAAGCTGATACTCCTTCAAACGCTATATTGGGACTAAAGCCTGACTGAAAACTTCTATTTGAGTAGATCGTGGGTACGGCTGTCGATCAGTGTGAAGAACATTTTGATTTCTAGCGAAATATACTCATTTTTAAACTAAGCTGCTTGCAACGGAAGACTCAAATGAATCCCCGCTGATACTTCCGCTAGAATAAGCATAATTCTAGAATTGCACTCAAATAGAACATATGATTGATGGAAACTTCGAGATGGCACCTACCTACGAGCCAGAACAAAAAGATGAAAATGATGTTGTCGTTTTGTCAGTCGAAATTTTTGGCAACCTCGCTGGGAAAGCTGATACTCCTTCAAACGCTATATTGGGACTAAAGCCTGACTGAAAACTTCTATTTGAGTAGATCGTGGGTACGGCTGTCGATCAGTGTGAAGAACATTTTGATTTCTAGCGAAATATACTCATTTTTAAACTAAGCTGCTTGCAACGGAAGACTCAAATGAATCCCCGCTGATACTTCCGCTAGAATAAGCATAATTCTAGAATTGCACTCAAATAGAACATATGATTGATGGAAACTTCGAGATGGCACCTACCTACGAGCCAGAACAAAAAGATTGATGTTATGTTGTCGAAAGATTTTCAGCAACCTTGTGAGTAGTGTGTTCTATCTCTAATGCTCTACTTGGGTGATCTCCATCTAGACTTCAAAGAATACCAGCTGTTCGATTAAGTCGCCCCAAGTTACTAGTTTTGTGTTAGGTACCACGTGCGAAGAAACTTCCTCTTCTGTGTGTATAATGTCCCCATGAGTCATTAAGCATGTGTAACTGTTGCACGGGCTCCGAAATTCTTATGAGCCAATGCCCGGGTTCGATCCCTCATAGGTGTTCCAAATCCACTGTTCGTACCTTATTGATAATTTCTAACTCGTTTGCGCACGGAAAATTCAAATGATGCTGTGATGCCGTTCAGCTGAATTAGCAGTACAAAAACTGTTTCATGTTTCGGTTGGGACGATATTCAAAATATCAAAGCACTATGGCAAAATTGATTGTTAGGCTACGATCACTCCTGTAATCTGTCAGTAATCTATTGGAGGGAGAAACTTTTCAGGGTAAAGGTGACTTGAAATTCAGTTCGATAAAATCAAAGTTTTAGTAACCCACTGATTTTAGCAGGTCAGTAGTCCGGTAATTCAACCTAAATCTCCAACCTAACTGACACTTTCGTATCCACCACTGGCTTCACTTGGTTTCCTCTTTTTATTTGTCTGTCACTGCCCTGCGTCGGGTAAAGGACTGGAATCCCGAAACCACAAAGCCGCATCAGCTGTCAGCTAATCACAAACCGTTTATCGATTTTGCTACCGCTCATTTGCTACTGTGTCGAATGGAATGATGTACTGATCACGTGCTGCTCGTATGAAAACGATGTGTGCGCGCTCAGCTCAAATAAGCGCACGATTTTGGCTCATCTACGATGATTAAAATACTCGCCAAGGGACAAATGCAGCTGAGTTTATGGCTAGGCTTAGGTTAATTTTTCTAAACGCTGGGCCGTTGGACTTATCACCGGCGAGTAGTATATACAGGTACATAATAGGCAGTACCCAAAATGTCACTGTGCCATTCTAGTGGTGCCTTTGATTGGATGGATACCATGGCGTTGCCATCGGTCACAGGTGAACACAGCTGCGAACTGTCGGTATTTTTGTCGCGTGCGGACCACTATACACGGCTGGTCATCACATCCAATTAGAAAAAACAGTGTTGCTTCGGTCTGACCAAGTGTCACCTGTTCACATTTGGTGCAGAGACTTACAGCCCCACCCAGTAAATTAGAGCGCCATTAGCGGAGCAAACGTGCGTCAGGTATTATCAACCTATCAGAAAACAGAGTAGCTTGTTATTCTCCCCTAACAAACGTTCGGTATGCAAAAGCTATATGCGTTACCATGGTTGGCACTACCGACGCACGTGCGCTTTCGGTTGCGCGCTGTCCTCTATGCTTGCGTTCTCGTAGTTGTGCTAATGAGTGTGAATCCATGAATGCATGGATTTATCTGTGCGTGTCATAGCCCCTTCAACCACTTCATTTCTCTGGCGTCTTCAGTCTGTCGTTACTCTCTGGGGTAGAAACAATTAAACACGACCGACCCCATCACATCCAAGTCGTGCATGAACTGTTTTCCATCCGTGTGGGTGGTCGTCCTGACCACATCATGCATTCGCGCAGGCGGATAAACCGGCGCAACATTAGGCTGAAGGTAAACTAACAATTCTCGCGATGCTTGTTGTGCTCGCCTGCTCGCTGGCGAGCTAGCTAGAGCGGTGTCTGTCAGTCTTTGCATCCTTGTTCCGAAGGTCACGAAAAACACAGCTAATCGACATCCGCTTCTGCGGCAAGAGCGTCGCTCACCCTCTACCACCTTCGACCAATCAGCAAATGCAAACGAAGGCCTGGCTAGTGGTTCACGCTTCACCCTATTCTGTTTACGTGTCTATCCTTCAATGATGTGTCTTGTTTCACTCTCTATTCTAATGCATCGGTGCGGCGTGTCTGTGCAGGCGTTCGTGCGAGACGTTTACGGGACAGCAAATAAAGCGATCGAAATGGTCGTGTATGCGCACGTAGCACCCGCACTCCCCCGTCTCAGGCTTAACGCTATCTGATCACACCCTGTCGGTCAAGCGCGCATTAGCACTCCGGTTGGCGGCGCTTGATGTGCGTTTTCGCAACGGCATTTCTCCACTCATTGGTACGCGTTACGGATCTATTGTGTTTGGTTTGCTCGGGCTTTTCATCGGGACGCCGTTTCGTTGACATGGCATTTACGACGAGTCACTATTAATTATTTATGTTGGACTATCCTACTGCTCCTTTCAACTTCCCCACAATGTTAACTACAACTCCTGCTGTTGGTCCAACTACTCTTGTTGCGATTAATGGTATGCTGCCTACAACGCCAGGTGGAACTCCGCTAACACCGAACCCGGGTACGTTTTTTGCAATGCCTTCGGCTTTGGGCTCCCCGAATTTTATCACAAACCATAACTTGCCGAGTGGACCTTTTATTTTTCCGTCAACGTTCCCCCCCGTTCCGTCCAATTTGCCGTGCACCGCTACTCCGTTCTCCTCACCACAGTTTCAAGGTCCTGTACTACCTTTTCTATCAACTACACCTACTGCCATGCTGACTACAAACTCGCCCATCTCACTGACACCTCAATTTACCAGCCCACTGCCGCATTTACTACAACAACAGGTCCCTGGCACTCCTCTGACCGGGTATCCTTCAAGTCTGTCAGCCACCTCGGTCGTCACTCCGCTCAGCGCGCAACCTTCACTTTTCACAGATCCAAGTTCGGTGGGGACGAACACGGTCTCATCTGCCATGTTACCAGGTTCTTTGCCTCCGAATTCCGTAGTATTCTCGTCAATTCCCTTATCATTCAGTAGTTCGTCAGCCAGCAGTACAAGTGATGTACTGGTGTTCCCGATGACAGCACCCGCATCGACAACTGGTACTACCAACCTTACTGCAGTAAGTCCTCTGCCTTTTTCAAGTACCTATTTGACGTCCACAGTCTCCACAATATCAGCCACCTTACCCTCGTCAACTACCGCGAGTAATACACCTATTTGCACAGAAACACAAGTTTGTCCTAGCACAGTGTCTACCAGCATTGCTCCCAATTTGCAAAGCTCCTTCAAAATTGACAAGACACAACCTATGGCCCCTGGAGGCAGTGCAGTTCGACCCAGCAACAACTTGCTGCAACTGGAATCGATGGACTTTCATCGCGACGAAATACTGGATGCTATCGATAAACTGCGCGAGAGGAAAGCCCGACCGGACTTTGAACGGATTTCCTGTATGCTGAAAAGATACCGAAACATCAATCCGGATCAGACTCAGGTATGCCTGGGCCGCCTAGCTGCGGCTGGTGCAGTGGTGTGCGTTGACTACAAAGGAAACTTAAGTTACCGAAATCCATCTAAATGGCGCAAGACTGCTACTTGTTCGGGAATCACCAACCTTCCTAGTGTTAGCGCAAAGCTAGTGGATGCAGTCCGTCGTCTTATGGCTGGAACAGTTTATCAAGCGAATGTATGCAGTAGTGACCAGGCGTTCTCCCCGTTAGTGCCCACCGTGGCGGGACCAAATGGAGGATATAGTTTGTTCCAAATTGAGCGAGCTCTCCAAGTGGCTGAAGTAAACAACACCGACTCCAGCAATTCTCAGAATTCTCGGAGACTTTCTTTGCTGACCGGCGCAACTCTACGTGTTTGTTTGGACCGCGAAGCTACACATGGGAAATTAGCCAAGACTCCCGACGGACGTTATGTCTTGGATGAATCGGGGGAACGCAAACGACTGTCAAGCATTTCTGTAACAGCAGCGCCGCACTTACTCAACAAGAAGCCTCTTCCGCCTAGTGGATCAACATTTGTATCACCTACTGGTAGTAATGTTAAGTATAATAAACCGCCAACTACGATGGCTCATATTGCACCAGCCGGAGATCCCATAACTCGCCCTATTGTGGCGAAACAATCCCCGGCTTCTGTATCAATCGCCTCTCTTGGTGGCGGCTCGCTCAACCCATTGTTGGGCCTTTCCGCTCGGTCTTCCGGGTCAAATCGTCGTGGGCGACCACCCGGTTCGAAATCCAGGAAATACTCGCTGCAGGCGGATGGGTCTGCACCCATGGAAAAGGTGAGTTTTGTTTTTAACTACTTCCATCATTTCAGTAGGTAGTTGTAGGTCGAATTCGCAGATTGTTGTCATTGTCACTTCCGCCTGTTGTGATGGTACCACCCTAATTAAGCACTTGAGTGTGCTCCCATCCTGCAGTAATTATGTACCAAACTAACTCGTCCTAATGACAGGATTGAAAACCTCGTACACTGCAGTATGTCGACGAGGCCATTGTGGAATTGAGCTGCGACTGGTTACCACACGCGCCGTTACTGAAACCGTCATTGACATATTTACTAGGCCATTACTTCCAACCACAAAGGAAATGATCCCCACTAGTTATGACGACGTAATGACACCAACTGTTGAATCGGACGGGGCAATTGGTCCTGGTCTCTTTGTGGAGATTGGATGCCACTTGTCGCACAACAAGGGCTCTGCTGCCTCAAGCTGTGTAGCCTTAAGTGTTAGATAATACAAGAAGAGGATTTCAACATTATAGAGTTCATTCGGAAGATTCGTCTACCTCCCATCATGTGTGCTGTATGGAAACAGCAATCCGACCGTGGTTGGGTGCATACACAGTACTGACGTATTTCCTTGTAACGACTCTGTCCTTATGACGCCAGTATGGTTATAGAAAGGGGCATTATTCCATGAAACGGAGCACTGACAAGCTTTCAGCTAATAGAAGAGCAAGTCGCCTGTCTGACTCATCGGACCCATTGCCATTTTAGCATCCAATTGCGTAATGTTGCATGGGTACTTCAGTGATTATCCAGAGAGATTGCGTATGTGGTTTGGCTACCTCGTGTCTCCTCCGGTTGGCATGGTAGCTAGGCAACGAAAGGGTGTCACAGCTGAATCATTTTATTATTATTGCTATTATTCTTATTTATCTATGCATTGCCTATCTTCCAAACCCACTTCTGAACCCATTGGTAAACCTCAGTCTCACGATGTGCTGTTAGTACCTCCGAAGATTATAATAGGGTGTAAGATTGGTGAACATTAATAAGTTGGCCATACGGTCTGTAATGAGTGCACTCGACAAGCCACCTACTGACTTAGTGTTGTACCCTCGGTCCGTACACAGCTTGCTGGTGCATTGTTTGGGGAATGTAGGTATCGAGTTAGAGGCCCATAAATTGATTCCTCAATGAGTGACAGCTCACGCTTCTATCCGATATGCCATGATCCAGTGACCTTGATCTTACGAGAGCACCATGGAGACACGCAACTGCTTCCTGGTTTTCCACGCATTCAATTACAACCGCGTTTTGTTGGTTCTGAAAGCCTCGTACACAGTATACTAACTTAGGCTTTATTGCAAACGTACCAAACGTAGTGCCATCTTGGATCGTAAAATCCCTGGGAATATTCGGGCCCATGGTGAATGAGATTGATTGTTGCTTACGTTAAGATGTTCTGTGCATGTCACTGACTTCACGATTCCGGAGCCAAAACAGTGAATTACGAATGATGTGCTGTGGAACCCACTCTTATATTGTCATGGGAATACTGAAAATATCTCTCTGGACATTGTAAGAACGAAATAACCATCAATTTGCAATCTCCTGAATTCTTGATTGGTTGTCAGTTTCAGTTCCCTAAAGTATGAGCAAATCGTGAAATGCGTATTCAATCGCTTTTCCGACCACGTTCGACCGGTAGTGGTCAATCTGACGTGTGACGAATTTGCTGAATGTGATGCGGAGAACGCCACCGAATGGCTGCACACTGCATTCGAAATTTATCACAGACTACAAAGTGTAGGAGAGTGAGTATGCATTCCCGTCGGTCGAAAGTGCAACACGTTGAACCGGTTATCATGAGATCACACTGCCACTGAACCGATCCATGGAGTAGTCACGAACCTTTGCTTGCGCTTTTCTCGATATAATCGGGCAATATGCTATTTTCCCAACAGAGTACGGCACACCTATTCCATGGCCCATGTGCCAAGTCTAGCCTGCTGGGTATCGTCCATACTGTGCTGCGTGTGTTCATTTTGCACGACCTTCCCTCCGATAATCTGTATGGCATGCGTTTGGTGTCAAAAACGCATTTACGCCAAATGCGTAGCTTTGCGCGTTTGGTCTGCTTTGCGACTGTATGTGCATGCGTGTACGTGCCTCGCGTCGCTTGCTGTGCGCTTTCAACATTCAACCATGTCAAAAACCTGATGGCTGCGTCTGCTGTTTGTATATGAATCGCGTTGCGCTCGCTCTTCGTCTCCCTTCCCGTAGCGCAGATCTTGCATGCACCCACCACCCACTCAGCCCTTTCCATGCGCATCATTGTCCACCCACAGCTGTGGTGGTAAATTTTCACTCCTTCCCTTGGCCTGTACGCACTGACTCATCTGTCGACCACTTATATCGATCGTCGTCCATTCTATCCTCTATCACATTCGTCGCTTGTGTGATAGGGGCGTTTTCCTCGCATGCGTGACTGAAAGCGAAGCCTTGCGCTTAAATGTGTGGGTGTGTGCGTACGTTCGTGCGCTTGCTCGCCTCGGAAAATGACTATGCTGGAGGGCCGCCGTTGCCTACACTCAACCTTTGTCTTTCGGAGTTTGGACCACATACAAACATTTATCACGACTATCATCCAGGACGTCTATCAGTACGGCTGTTCTTAGGTAGGAGACGGTAGTAATCTGTCAGAATGCACTTGGAAATTACCTGTTCCATTTGGTACAGTGGACAGTAGAATGTTGTCTGTTAGGGTTCAGCCCTATTTGGCATTGTCACTAACTACGTGGACCTATTTACGGATAACACAGTGGCCGAGTTTTTAGCCCCGTCGTTACACTGCGGACGATTGGCTTGTGTCAATTCCTCTTGGGTGTGTATGACCGATGACTGGGGAGATAGCCTTTGGGCCGAACTTCGGTTGCTATATAAATCTGTCTTAGTTCTGTGTACTGCAAAACTGAAAAAGAATGCACTACATTTGGTGCAATTTCGTAGGTTGCACACACCTGCGGAGCCCCAAGCAGCGCTAGGGGACTGTCAATGCAGTTTTACTGAGGGGAGAAGTTTCAGGGTGTGGTTTAGTCAAAATGCACATTTGTAGAAGTATCAGGGCAAAATGATGCCTCATTCATAGCACACTCTTGAGTCAATCCATAAGGAGCGCGAGGACTGGATTACCGTCAGGTTGTTCACGCGTAACCAGGGCTGATTGATCTTTCAAAGGTTGGTTTAAACTCCTGAGCCTTCTGCGTAAGAGATCGTGCCATATCAGTGTAACGGCTCCTACTCAAGTAGCCAAATGATGCATGCTTGTTTTACAACGGTAACCGGCTAGCGCTATCAAATATGCAACCTTTTCGAGCACAGCTGTTGGGCCGGGTGTCTTCAACCGTCGAATCAGGTATCCGAATTTGTGAGGACTAGAAACCAGGCAATAATGCTCGAGACTGGTTCTTCTGTAAAGAGTGGGATCACCTTCAATATAGGTCTTTTTTGGGGAAAAGAGATTTGAGGTCGCTCAGTGATTAGAGCGCGAATTTACTGATTAGAAGGTCCGTGGTTCGAACCCAATCCATGAATCTCGACTTCTGTCCAAGCTTGGGAAACCTAGTAGTATCCCAGCCCTCGTACTTCCTTTGGGTGGCCTGACAGCTAGGGCGTTACAGCTGACCGACAGGTTTTGAGGATCAGCTGATGGGAGACCTCATCAGGATGGACGAGTTATTCCAAAACGGTGAGGGCAAATGAAACATCGTCTGAAAAGTGGTGCCACTATGGTGGTGAGATGTTTCTTTTTGTGTCTTGGAGCGAATCTAGGTGGGGAGTTCCCCGCCACCAACGAAATTCCCTTCATTACGAGCAAGTTATATCAATTTGGCACTTGGTTTGGTGATTTCATCACAACTAGTGACAACCTTTACAATATACCCCAAAAAGTGCCAGCTGAAACCGGAGGACAAACTTAGCGAAGGCGATCTTTCTTCCTCGAAGGTCGGGGGTTCGCGTTTGTTACACCTTATCCTGTAAGAAGACAGTAGGTCATTACAACGTAGAACTTATGACCAGTGTGATTGTACTTGAATCTCGTGAGCGAGCTTCCCTACTGTAGACTGTTTTCCAAAACTGCTGTTGTATTCTAATGCACCTGGATTTCAGTATTAACTACGGGATTACGAAATGTAGGTTAGGACTGCCAGTCTATGGGAAATCTACGCATAAAAGTGTTGGAAACGACAAACTGGTTACTTTTCCATGAAAATGTTTAGATTCTTTATATTGGTCGATTTTGCGAAAATACTTGAAGACTGTCGTTGAAATCAGCCAGAATCAGATGCAAGCGTTCTAATTAAACTTTTCCTTCTGAAGGGAAAATGTTTCAATTAGTGTTTGTTTTAGACGTAAGGAGAGAACACCTGTTCGTAAACATGAGCATTTGAACAAAAACACCACACGAATGTTGACGTTTTTCCTGTTGGGTTAGCCTTACCTCTGTCATTTTATAGATGTTAAAGCTGCGTTCAAATCAGAATGCTTGGTGCAGATTGCCTGAGCACTTCCTCCCAGACTACTTCTCTCGGTCGTGTTCGGTAACACAACTGGATCAATTTCCACCCAGTTATGGACCTTGAATACCGTCAACCGGTACCTTCCGACCGGTCGCTCGGCCGTCACTTGACTGCTGCTTTCAGCTAGCTCTGATTTCAGAGTTGGGTGGGAGCTGATGAGCTTAGGCAGTCAGGAGGCTGCAAGTTCGAATCGCCCTCGAGACTGCTAATGATTCCCAATAGGGATGAAACAACTGTGTAGTGCTACTCGATCTTTTGGAATATATTGACCTCTGTTTCAGGATGAAATCTCCATCGAAAATGCTAATGGTATGGTATCCCTGTGAATTTGTCGCATAGGTCAATTAAGGTGACATTGACCTCTGTTTCAGGATGAAATCTCCATCGAAAATGCTAATGGTATGGTATCCCTGTGAATTTGTCGCATAGGTCAATTAAGGTGACCTCGCTATTCACCACCAGGCGTGGGTGT